CCTCCACCAATCGCGAGCCGGGCGGCAGCGACGGGTCAAACGTCATGCGCAGCCCGCTCACCTGCGGGAAGCGGCCCTCGTGCTGAGGATACTTGCTCACGCCATTCTCAAGCGCCGCCCACACCTGCAATGCAGTGCAGTGTGTTGTGTTGTGTTGTGTGTGTGTGTGTGTGTGTGTGTGTGTGTGCGAATTTGGGAGGCACACGGAGCAGCGGGCTTGCAAAATACGCGAACACATGAACAAGACAAGAATCCATGCAAGTGCACCACCACGCAGACACACAGACACGCAGACACACACGGACACAGACACACACAGACATAGACACATGTGTCCCCACTGTGCGTGCTCATAACTCACGGTCTTGCCTGTAACCTCCAGAACAACACACGCGTCTGTGAAGGGGAAGATGGTGCTGACAACGCGAGCGGTGACGGGGCCAGCAGGATACACGCGGTCTGAGCGGAAGGAGCCGCCAGCAAGGATGCACAGGTCTGCACCATAACGTGCACGCAGCAGCCCGGCCACAAGGTTGCCAAACGCGTTTTCCTGGCGGGAAAAGGGGGAGGGGAACGTGTGTGTGTGTGTGTGTGTGTGTGTGTGTGTGTGTGTGTGTGTGTGTGTGTGTGTGTGTGTGTGTGTGTGTGTGTGTGTGTGTGTGTGCGTGTGTGTGTGAATGGATGGGATTGTGTGCACATGAAAACAAAGGCAAGGGTGGGCGCTTTGAAACGAGGAGCAAGAAGAATATCAGAACAACTTCGCCACAAGCACAAGCACAAGCAGTTGCAGTTGCAGTGACAGCCAGACCCCTCTGCGCCACATGCCCATGTACTCACCTCTGTTCTGACGGAACTGTTGTGAACATTCCACTCGACCTCTGTGTACCCAACAACCTGTCGTCACACGAATATAGTCAAACAAAGGTCAATACGCACTTAATGCATGCATGTGTGTATGCGCCTGTTTGTTTGTTTGTTTGTTTGTTTGTTTGTTTGTTTGTTTGTTTGTGTGTGTGTGTGTGTGTGTGCACGTGCACATGCGTGTTCGTACACATCTGCATACGTGCACGCGTGTGTGTGTGCGTTTGTATCAACGGCTAACCTTGTCGAAGATGGTTGCGTACTTCTCATCCGCCTCCTTCACATATGCAGCCATATCCGAGTCCGGCTCGACTTCGCTCGTCACATCGACGCGCTCCACAGCCACGCTTGGCCTGGCGTCGCCGTTCAGCGTCACCTAAGGACGGGAAGGCGGAGACATGGAGCAAGTGAGTGAGTGTGTGTGTGTGTGTGTAAGAGTGTGAGAGTGTGAGAGTGAGTGAGTGAGTGAGTGAGGGGGTGAGTGAGTGTGTGAGTGAGTGAGTGAGTGAGTGAGTGAGTGATACGTGTGCGTACACGCATGCATGCAAGCAAGCAAGCATGTGGTTGATCACCTCAATAACGGAGAAGTTCTTAAAGTCCATGCCGGATTTGATGACGATGTTGTTGTCGAGCTGAGTAACGCGGTAAAAATGGTCGTGCCCACCCAGCACTGCAGCAATCGCAACGAGATGACGAGTGACCCGCGGGGGGGGGGGGAGGGGGGAAGGGGCGAAGTCGAGGTGAAGCAGAGCACATGATGAGCATGCTATGTTGTGTGTAACACCACATCAGCAGGTGCAGACACACGCAAGTGAACATGTGTGGATAAACAGGCGGACGAGCAACAACAACAACGGCGACAGCACACAGCTGCACAGAGGCAGACACACAGACACACAGACACACAGTCATAGATACAGAGACACACACATGTGCGCACACAGACACGCACACAGACACACACACACACATACACGCGCACATACACGCGCACATACACAGCCACACACACACACACACACACACACACACACACACACAGACACAGACACACACACACACCAAGGTCAATCTCAGGGCAGGCCTTTGCGAGGGCCAGGTCGTTGTTCTCGCGCATGTGTGTCAGTGCAATCACCAGATCGCACTCGTCCTCCTCACGAAGAATCTGCAGTTTGAAACCAACAGGGAGAGGGCGGGAGAACGCAGACCATTAGGCACGAAGTAGCACCAGGCGCAGTCTGGCTCGCGTGCAACTGCCAGCACACGAACACAGGCACACACGCACAGACAGACAGACAGACACACACACACACACACACACACACACACACACACACACACACACAAAAACGAACCTTGATGTACTCTTGTGCCGTCTCGATGAAGTCACGGTACTGGATGTCCTCTGGGGGATCGCTCAGCGTGTCTACAGGGGACGGGCAGGCGTGTGTGCGTGATTGGGGGAAGGGAGTTATGATGGGGGGGGGGGGGTGTAAACAGCAGTCGTATTGCAGGGACGGACACACTGTTACATACGCACACACACACACACACACACACACACACACACACACACACACACACACACACACACACACACACACACACACACACACACACACACACACACACACACACGCCGCGCGCGCACGCACATACCGATCCAGTCCTTCTCTGCGAGGCCCATGACGCCAATGCGCACGCCCTGCTTTTCGAAGACGTGCTTCTTCTTCGCCGTGCCCGTGGGGACGCCCTGTGAGTCAGTCAGGTTGCTGTGTCGGGTTGTTGGTGGCAAAGCATGGCAGTGTGGGGTGGTGGGAGTGGTTAGTGGTTCGCGTTGCGTTGGAGCATACGCTGACACAACGGGCAAGGAGAGCAAAAGGGAACACGGAGACAGACAGACAGACAGACAGACACACTCGCACACACTGGGCCACAGATATGCACATGCACACACACACACAGACACTCACACAGACACACACGCACACACACACACACAACGCACACACACACACACACACACACTCACTCACGTCATGACCCAAGGAAAGGTGCACTCTTGCGACAGCTTCTTGAGTTCCTCTTCCCCAAAGTCTGCGTTGTTGGGTCGACGAGTGAGTGCGGGATTCGGCATCACATCACGTTACAGTGCACGGTGGCTTGTGCTAACGCCGTGGTCAGAGCACATGCGAAGCGTGGAAAGAAACTCACCAAAGTCGTGGTTGCCGTAACATGCCACCTCGATCTTGGCGGCGTTGAGGCATGGCACCATATGGTGGCCCTTTGTCGCGCTGCTCAAGATGGAGGGGTTGAACGCATCGCCTGTGTGATTGTCGTGTGAGAGGCGATGCAAGCAGAAAATGGGTTGGAAATGGAGTTGAGCGCGAGGGGTAGGCCGTGCACTGTACACACCAGCCATATGGACAGACACACGCACTCACACACAGACGCAAGCACACACACAGACACACGACACAGACACAGACACAGACACAGACACACACACACACACACACACACACAGACAGACAGACGCATGCGCACACACAGACACAGGCACAGACACAGACACAGACGCAGACACACACACACATATACCGCTGAAGAGGACGGTGGTGTCCTCATACTTGTTGATGGCTGTGATGAAGCGGGCAATCCCTCCCACAGGCTCCGTCTGCAAACACAACCACAAAGAACCCAATGCAAGCAGTGAGTGCTGGCGACAAGGAGAAACGTCAGCTCTACGTGTGTGTGTGTGTGTGTGTGTGTGCGTGTGTGCGTGCGTGTGTGTGTGCTTTCGTGCATTGTGTGTGTATGGCTCGGGTGCAGGTCGGAACATGGGGGTGATGGATGCGATGCGGTGGGTCTCACGGGGCCTTCCTTGATGTGGTACACATCGTTGAAGTGAATCAGCCTCAACAGCTTCTTGTCATGCTTCGTCTTCTTCGTCTTTGGCGGTGGCATCGTCCCCGTTCGCTCGTCACAAGTGTCCCTATCTCTCCTCTGTGGGATCTCGATCTCACAGCCTCCTCCTCGACCTCTCTCTCCTGCGTGTGATGATGTGCTACGTCTTTGTTCACGTGCGCGACACCACTGATTGCCTACTTGCTTTCGTTCCACCACCATCCATCTGCCCGCTCGCCTGCCCGCTCGCCTCTGTACCTTTGCTTCGTGGACACGCTCCACATCGTTGAAGTGGATGAACCGCAGCGGCGTCACTGACGCCTTCCGCGTCATGGTGTGTTGTTGGGAAGGAGGCGTGTTGAGGCGAGCGAGCAGGCAAGCAAGCAAGCAAGCAAGCCAGCAAAGAGTCTTCTGCTGGAGAATGATCGTATTGGGAAACATGCAACCCCCAAAAAGCGTTGCGAAGCACGGGTTACATCATCGCCACTCGGTGATGGTGTTGTTGTTGTGGGCGCGTGTGTTGGAGCAGGGGGTCATCAGTCATCTACTAGAGCAAACACAAGAGTGGGGGGGGGGCGCATTGGGCCAGGCACAGAGCGCCATTGAGTCGTCATCATGTTGTCCCAAAAGCAAAAAAAAGTACGCCGGCACGAAAACACACACAGACGGACGGACACAGCAGTTACACACAACCACACACAGACACAACCACACACAGACACACGTACACACAACCACAAGCGAGCATCAGGAGTAGAGGGGCATGGTAGCTGGCGGCATGGCAATGGCGTCCTGCTCCTTGTCAATCTCCAGCGCCAACGCCTCCGCAGCGTCCACGGGGTCGACGTCGCAGTTCAGCACCAGCACCTTGCGCATGTGCGCCTTGAGGTCTGCTGGTCGCCAAAAGTCGCCGCCAAGCTTCTCGTATGCGTCGTCCATCGCCTGCTCATACCCGCGTGGCGTGATGTTGCTGTAGAAGCGCGTCTCAACAGACTTGCCCGGCAACGCGCGCGCATTCTGCTCCCGCCGCTCAGCAAGGATCCGTTTCGCCTCCTGTGTGTGTGTGTGTGTGTGTGTGTGTGTGTGTGTGATTGAGTGTGAGGTTGTGCGTATGCGATCATTTTTGCGCGCGCGCGCGCGTGTGTTGGTGTACGTGAGCGAATGCATGTGTGTGTGTGTGTGCGCGCGTTGGTGTGATGAGCGGCAGCGCATGTGAGCACACACTTGAGCTCCAATACGCACAGCGTGTGCTCGAAGGAACATGGTCGCCAGCGGGTAGTGTGCTTACCTGGTGGGCGACCTCAGTATCGTCGTCGTCAAAGCGCTTGAGGAAGCTGTCAAACTTGGTGATGAGGTAGAGCACGTGGCACGGCACGTTGCGCAGCTTCAGCAGCGACTGGTGATGGGAAGAAAAAGCAGGGCGAGGGTAGCGAGAGGCACACATGGTGATGAGGAGTGAAGCAGCAACTGTATGCGGTAAGGTGACACACGCAGGCACCTACACACACATCTACACACGCAGATACAGACACACACACACAGACAAAAACAGACAGACAAACACAGACAGACAAACGCAGACACACACAGGTCCCACGCACCTCGTCCTCCTCCTTGTTGTATCCGCGCTGGGAGGAGCTGGAGGAGACGTAGATGACGTATCGCAGTTGCCCAAGGAATGCGGTCCCAAACGCGTCCTTCGCACGCAAAAACTCTTCAGAGCACGAGGCATCTGTTGCGCTGTCGTCCCCAACCGCTTCGTTGAAGCCAAACGAATCCGCAATCAGCACGCCCGTGGAGCCAACCGGGTGCACGTCAAAGGCCTTGGTATTGCCGTCACCAAACGCAGACTTGGTGTCAAAGCCAAGCTGGTTCAGCATCAGCGACTTGCCTGCCCCCTGTGCACCGTACACGCCAATGATGGGCTGCTCAAGCAGACGCTCAAACAGCGGCTGTCGCACCTTCACCACTGCAGTGGGCGCATATGGGTGGACGTCGGCATGCAACCGAAGGGTGTGTGTGTGTGTGTGTGTGTGTGTGTGTGTGTGTGTGTGTGTGTGTGTGTGTGTGTGTGTGTGTGTGAAAAACTTGTGAGATGTGCCAGGGGTGGATGTATGTGCATACCTCTGTGTGTGTATGTGTGTGTGTGTGTGTTTGCATGCCCCTATGTGCGTGTGTGATGTCATACATCCGCCACAGCCTCAGCGGCACATGCAAGCACCCCCTCTCCACCAACGTAGCATGCAGCGCACCCGAGTAGATCCAGCGACAGATGGTCTCAAACGCGTGCGGGTTGTCCTGTGAGGAGACGCCCATGGCTGCCATGTTCTTCATAAACTCCTGCAGGCGCGGGTCCAGCCCCTGCGAATCAGCCTGCTCGTGCCGCTGCAGCCGCGTCCGCAGCGCTTGCACGCTAGTGTGTTTGTGTGTGTGTATGTGTGTGTGTGTGTGTTTCGAAGAAAGAGTTGCGAGCCCAAGTCATGTGCAAGCATGTGAGTGGTTGCATTCGCGTGTGTGGAATGGTGGACAGGTACGATGGTTTGGGCCATATTACACACAGACAGACAGACACACACATGCACGCACACAGACACACACACACACACAGACGTTCAATTGAGCGCTGGGCCCCACCTGTCAATCTTGACAAAAGTGTTGATGATGGCTTCTTCGATGACGCTGAGACAGCTGAAGTCTGAGCTGCCCTTGGGAAGAAGACGCGCAAGCAGCGCAAGCTTCATATTGAACCCCGTGATGGTGGCTGTTCAAGGCAGTGACGAGCAAGGGGAAAGGGAATGTGGTATCAAATACACGGGACGGGAGGTGCAACCTCTTCGAAACGGGAGGATAAGGCGAGTCTTGCATGCTCGAACACAGATCCAAATGCATGGATAGACAGACAGCAAGAACAGCCAGGCACACCCAACCACAGACAACGCAACTCAACATTGCACAGCATAAAACAGACAGACGGACAGACAGACACAACGCACACAACACAGCGCAAACACACACACACACACACACACACACACAAAACACACACAACACAGCGCAAACACACAGACAGCAGCAGACCTTGTTGGTATTGGCGGTGCCTGCGGAGGTAGGCGGTCTTGTGGTTGAGGTTCTTGCGCTGCGGGTTGTCGTCAACAACAAACGGGCGAACAACAGCCGAGGCCACAGAGAAGACGATGCTGGACGGAAGAGACGTGAGTGACGCCCAGAACCGGTCAACCGTGCGCCGGGAATGGAAGGGGAAGTCTCCATCCTGACCACAGGCGGGCGCATAAATGGGTGCATGTGTGTGTGTGTGCATGTGTGTGTGTGTGTGGGTGCATATGTGTGCGTGTGTGTTGTCGGGTGAGCATGTAGTGTGATCGTCGGATGAAGATGGGGGTTCGCGAGCAAGAAAATTTTCACAGACAGGACCAGCCAGCCAGCCAGGCACAATGCAGGGCACAAACGCACAAAGAAGATGTGGAAGAGTTCGATTGCGCTCTCTGCGCGCAGGAGGAGCTGCGTCTGCTGAAGACTTGAGGGGTCGAGCGCTTGCTCCAGGTTGTCCGACTGACTGTGCAGCGCTGACGTGAACGACAGGTTGGAGATGGCGTCCCGGAACTGATCGTGTGTGTGTGTGTGTGTGCGTGTGTGTGTGTGTGTGAGTGAGTGAGTGAGTGAGTGAGTGTGTGTGTGAGCGAGTGAGTGTGTGAGTGAGTGGGTGAGTGAGTGAGTGTGGAGTTGCCCGATATGGGGCAGACAATACAATTTGTTGGTCGTGAGTTTCATGCGAGATGTGCGGGCCAAAGGAAGAGGGGACGGGGAGAAGTAGTAGCAGAAGTAGCAGCAGCAGCAGGAAACCCTCAAGCACAGACTTACACTACCACCACTACCACCATTGTCAGTACACTTGTCGCACCTTGGGCGGCATATCTGAGATAAGGCTGGAGTAGTCTGGAAGAAAGCCGTCCCACTGGCACGTCTTTGAGGGAAGGTTGACCTGGTCCACGTCCGACAGCAGGTCTCCGAGCGGCTGCAGCAGATCCTCAGGCAGACTCTTCGACTACACACGCCACAACCCAGGTGTGTGTGTGTGTGTGTGTGTGTGTGTGTGTGTGTGTGTGTGTGTGTGTGTGTGTGTGTATACGTGTGTGTGTGTGTGTGGAGTTGGACGTTGTAACGAGGGAGGGGGACGGGATGGCAGGACAGCACGGCGTGAGTGGAACGACGCAGGCAGGGGTTCAGTACACGAGAGATGCGGTTCATGAGGTTGAGGGTGAAAGCCGTCTCGCGGCCACCTCTCAAGAACGAAAGCAGCAGTAGCAGCAGCAGCGGCAGCAGGAGCACACCATACACGAGTGCTCTCACCGGCAGCTTGTAGCGGTAGGCGCCGAGGCCGCCAGCCTGCTCCTCCGAAGCGTAACTACCCAACTACACCAGACCACAGAACGTGTGTGTGTGTGTGCGTGTGTGTGTGTGTGTGTGTTCATGCGTGCGTGCGTGTTTTCGCGAGCGCGTGTGTGATTGTGATTTTGTGAGCCAGAGGAATCTACGACGGCGGATGCGCCCGTGCACGCACAAACAGACGCACAGACACACACACACAGAGACACAAGCAGGTGAACCAACATTAAAATAGCTGAGGATGATGGCGCGGAGGGTATTGCGCATCACAGACTTTGTTCGGTCATCCACTTCGGCATCTGCAAGCGCACAAAACAGCCGTTGCCGCGCAAGGCGGTGAACCAATGGAACATGCACACACACACAATGGTCCGCACGAGATGCATTGACACAAACAAGCAAACACACAAACACCAAACACACAAACAAGCAAACAACCAAACACACCAGACATACACAACGCAACAACACCTTCGCGGTTGATGCGGTGCCAAGCGAGGAGGAGGGCAGAGAGATCAAGGAAGCAGCACGCTTGGTCTAGCTCCCCGCACATTTCCTCGCTGGCAGTGAGGAACGACGCCATGCAGTCAATTGCCTTCTTGTCTTCGTGTTCCACCGCGTCCGTGTTGCCTGCAAGCACCTTGGCAAAGTCTTCCTGCGACACGCCCTGCTTCTGCGCCAGCCGCATGGCCGCCTGACGCAAGAGGACGGCCTTCAAATAGGCCATGCTGGCCAGGTCGCGTGACGAGCTGTGGCTGGAGAGGTAGCTGCGCATGTGCGAGCTGGACGTGGGCAGCGTGATGTTCTCCATGGACACGGGAATCACCTGCCCCGCGAGCAGGGAGCGGGCGTAGAGGGTGAGGCCTGCCACCTTGCTGCGCGGCATACCGCGGCCAATGCTGCCCTTGATGTGGCGCGGCGTCACCAGCGCCTCGCTCAGGTTGAGAAGCGTCAGCACGCGCGAGCGATTGAGCTTCACCGTAAAGTCGACCTGCGTGTCTGTGACGGACACCTGCTCCCACTGGGCCTCGCCCTGCGACTGGCGATCATCGCGCGACCAGATGAGCACAGACCCTTCCGGCAGGTCGTCCATGGTGCCAAGCTGCAGCGACGTGGTGTCCGAGAAAGGCAGCACGTGCACGTCGCTCAGCAGGCGAAGCTCCCGCCCACCGAGGCAGAAGTGCGTCGTGCCGTTCTCAGACACCTCCACCCACACGTCGGTGATGTCCGTGTTCATGTCGAGATCCGCGTCCACATCTGTTTCCCCCGACTCTTCCAGCGCCAGCGCTTGCGGTGCATCCTGCATCAGGTTCCATTGCGCACATTGCGTGTGTGACGTGTGAGTGAGTGAGTGTGTGAGTGAGTGAGTGTGTGTGTGTGTGTGTGTGTGTGTGTGAGTCGTGGTACAACGAGGTACGCGTCAACGACTGAGGCACATGGTGCACACACAGACACACACACACGCACGCACACAAGACAGACGCAAACACACACAGACACAGGCAGACACAGACACAGACACAGACACAGACAGACAAACAGCAGCAGCAGCGGCAGGAATGAAGCAGAACAGACCTGCCGGCGTTTGGTTTTGAGCGACTCGAGGGCGATGATGATTTGGCTGACGTAGATGTTGATGGCGTGGTTGGTGCAGTTGGCCTGGATATCAAGCAGCTTCATCTCAGCAACGTCCTTGACGAAGGTGAACACCTGCTTCCAGCCGACATTCTTGGCAAACTTGTTTTCCAGAATCCAAGGAATGCCATCAATGGCCTCCTTCTTGAGCACGTTGAGCACGTTGGTGCCCAGCTGCAGCCCACCAAGGCTGACAGACGCGCGGCACTGGTCGCGGGACGACAGCATGCCGGCATCGCGCAGGCTCAGGTACGTCTTGGGCCACTCCTTCTTGCGCAGGAACACGCCGAGCGCTGGCACGGGGTCCTCCTTGATGAGCACAAAGTGGCGGTTGGTCTTGCACCACTCCTTCCACACGTCCTGTGCGTGGCGCTGCAGCTGCCCGGCGAGCATGTACGTGTCGGGCAACAGGGGCGCGCCCAGCGTGATGCAGAACAGGGACTTGCGCAGCATCTCCAGGTCCAGGTTGGGCGCACCCATCACCTGCGCGCACAGCATGACGGCGAGCATGCCGCCAATGGAGTGGCCGGCGACAATGACCTGCGTGCCGCGGCGCAGCCAGTGCTGGATGTAGTCCATGGGGACGAGGCTGAGCAGGTTCTGGAAGTACGCGCTGCGCGGCTCGTTGTTCAGCTCCTCTGTCACCAGGGGCGAGAACACAATGAAGCGGCGGCGCGCGCCCGTCTGGAACGACTCGTGAATGAACACGAGCTGCGAGTGGCCGTCAGACCCGCTCTGCGTGGGCTGCACCTCCGGGTGGCTAAAGTACCCTTGGTACACGTCCGTGAGCAGGGCGCGCCGCTCGTCGGGGTGCACCTCGGCCAGGTGGCACGCGCACGCCGCACGCTGCAGCAAGGGGAGGATGTTGTTGCGCTGGAGGGTGAGCGCGCCCTCGCCCGACCGCGACGTGAGAAAGGGCAGCGCGCGGCTGCGGAAGGAGAAGTGGGTTGCCAGCCAGTCCTTCTGGTAGCCGCCGACAGCGAGTGCTCCACGTGCACGGTATGACTTGGACGCGTCGCGGTTGCGGAGGCCACGCGCCTTCTCGCATGATGAAATGATGTGCGCCGCCCGCTTCGTGGCCTGGCGCTCCGCAAGCAGGCCCTTCTGTACTGCATTCACCATTCGCAGGAACTTGCCCTGTGGGGGCGGGGCACGGGGGGCGGGGGTTGTGAGTGTGGTCATTGTGTTCGTCGTGTGAGTGAGTGTGTTGTGGTAGAGATGTGGGGAATGAGGTGATGGGGTGGTGAAAAGAGGCAGCCAGGCAGGCACAGAAGCATGCGCACGGAACACAGGACAACACAAGACAACACAAGACAACACAAGACAACACGACACAACACAAGACAACACAAGACAACACGAGACAAGGGCAACACACGTTGTCAAATTCGCCGACGTAGGCGCTGTCAAGCTCGCGCTGGGTGAGGCGGTCCGTAATCTCGCGGTTGGTGCGCTTCAGGCGCAGCATGCCGCAGCCGTTGATGCGTCCGCCGAGAAACTGGCCGCGATATTCAAACGGCAGCGCAGGATCGCCCGAAATGAAGATTCCATAGCCGTAGTACGACCCGCGCAGCCACACGCCAATGTAGCGGGAGCCGTCGTCGAAGAAGGCCATGCCAAACCCGTGCGGTTGCTCGTGGATGTTGACCTGCCCAAAGTAGAGGAAGTTCTTGTAGCGGTGCTCCGTGATGCTCTCTGCGTTCTCCCGCTCCACGTCCGCAGCAAAGTTCATCGCCAGGTTGGGGTCAATGTCGTTCTCTGCGCGCACATGGGCGTACATGTTGCGTGTAGGATGTTGGGTGTTGGGGGTTGGTAGAGGGTGGATTTGTGTGTGTGTGTGTGTGTGTGTGTGTGTGTGTGTGTGTGTGTGTGTGTGTGTGTGTGTGTGTGTGTGTGTGTGTGTGTGTGTGTGTGTGTGTGTGTGAAACTTACAAGGCAAATGTGGCATACCACGTGCGCCACAATTCGCACATGCGCGCACAGAGGTGCATACACACACAGAGGTACATACACACACAATGCACACACACACACACACACACACACACACAGAGCACAATGCACATATGTACCTTTGCAGATCTGCGGGATGCGGACGGTGGCGAAGAACTCGTCCTTGATGTCGTCGAGGGAGACCTTCTCCAGCAGCTCCACCTCCATGCCGTGGCCAGCCTCGTTTGGCGACAGCTTCACGCACGTGCGCAGCGGCGACACCTCTGGGATGTTGTACTTGTCCGGGTGCTGCAGGCAGTCCTGTACGTCCGAGGGGAAGTCCGAGAGCGGGTACACAAACTTGCCAGAGTAGAGGTGTTGCATGGACTCCATATCCTTGAGCGAGAGCTCGACCGGCTCAATGACGTCCTGTGCGCTGGACGACGTCTGTCCAGAGGCCCACGGGCGATAGGGCCAGGCCAGGCAGCGGCGGAGGATGTGGGGCTCTGTGAGCAACTTCCTGCATGCCAGCGTAGACGGTCGCCATGTCGTGGACCTGGATGGTGCCGCGTGCGCTGCCGATGGCCTCGCCCGTGATCTGGTACAGGCAGGTGGCGGCCTGCCGGTTGAATGTGTTGATGTAGTTTGGCTTGCTCATGTAGGCGGTGATGTCGAGGGTGTCCACGATGTTGGTCTTGTGCAGCATGCCAGGGCGGTTCTCCTTGCTCTCCATCAGGCTTCGCGAGCCGGGCGACTCGAAGGTGACGGCCCAGATGCGGGCGTACGCACCTGGCAGCTCGCGCAGGTGCATTGCAAACTCGAGCTTCAGCTGGAACACGACCAGCTCCGCCTCCCACGCGCCCAGCGAGTGGCCAGTCGTCGACACTTGTAAGAACTGTGGCGCGTGTGCGTGCATTTTTTTTTTTTGTGTTGTGTGTGTGTGTGTGTGTGTGTGTGTGTGTGTGTGTGTGTGTGTGTGTGTGTGTGTGTGTGTGAGCAAGCAGGTGAAGGTGTTTGAACTCATGTGCGTGTCAGGCGTGCACACTCACGCACACACAAGTGCATGCACACACACACACACACACACACACACACACACACACACACACACACACACAAATACGCACACACCCACACATGCAAAGGTTGCAAGCTGCAGAAGGCCATTTCCCCGATCCTCCTCCTCCTCCTCCCCATTACTTTCACCAATCCCGACCTTGTACTTTTCGAAGACGCGGTGTTTGGCGTAGCGTTTAGCGATGGAGACGGCGTCGTCGTTGATGATGCCAGCCCTGTCGCGCATGACGTGGAAGATGTCTGCCTTGACGGACTTGATGTTGCTTGGCTGGGTGCCACGGTAGGAGAAGACGAGCTGCTGGCGTTCCGAGTGGAAGAAGACGGTGCAGATCATGCCGGAGTCGCAGCGGCACTGCTCGAGCACCTCCCAGCCCGCGTGCCTGAGGCGGTGCCACGCATCCACAGAGAGCTTGAGCTTTTCCGCGGGGAGGCGTGTGTCGTTCTCGATGGCATCGCTGATGGTGTCCTGCCGGATGTCGTCCTCGTCCATGTCACGGTAGGTCAACAGCGACATGCACGCATAGTCGAAGGTAGTGGGCCTTCGCCCCAGCAGGTCCTTTCCCGTCACGTCTTGCATCTTATTCACTCAGCAAACATCTAGCGTGACGGCAACGGGCAAGTGGGGGCTCGGGAGGGGGGGGGGGGAGACAAGCAGCAGGCTGCTCACTTGGCTCGCTTGCTTGGGCAGTTGGATGACTGACACCTTAAGTGAGCTGCGCGCTTCCAGGCCCTTGCTGGCTGGCTGCTGGAGGGTTTTGTTTTGGTGGTGGGTGGGCGGTGTTGGTGGCGGTGATGAGGCGCGGAAAGTTCACCGGTAATACCGCAATTCCTCATCAAGCGCAGGTTGTGCGCTGGGGAGAGCGCGCAAGATGTCTTTCTCACCACAAGCAAGCGAGAGCACACACTCACTCTCTCTCTCTCTCACACCACACAAGCACACAGATGTTCAGGAAAGGCTTCGTTGATGGGGGGAATATGTTGTTCAATCAAAAGAAGAGAGCGAGAGAGCGAGAGAGAGAGGGAGAGAGAGAGAGAGCGAAGAAAGAGCGCAAGAGTCCATTTTGAGGGTCAATCAGAAGCACAAACACAAACACACACGTCATGTTATGCAAAGGCACACGCGCGTACACATGTGCAACTGGGCACACGTGCGGGGAGGGTGATCGTCAAAGGTGTCATCAGTAGCATGAGCAGCATGAGCAGCATGAGCAGCATGAGCACCAGCAGGGTCGAGTATCAAAGCAGTAAGCAGCATCGGGCACGGCCCTGAGCGACAGCCGGCAGGAACACACGCACAGGCACAGGCACACGCGTGCGTGTGACGGCGTCCGATGCGGCCGCCGTGCTCGCTAGGCCACATGTGTTAGGGGCGTCCGTTCTGCCCAAGAGGAGCCCTAGACAATGTGAAGGACGCGCACTTGCAGTGTCTTCCGCACCCCAGCCGAGCGCAGGGCGACCGGCGGCACAGGCGATGCAGTTGAGGACAGCGCAGCTCCTCCGGGCTGTCGCACCATCGTGGGCAGTGGCAACGAATGCAGCAGAGCACCATGCTCCTTGCGGGTGAGGGCAAAGACTTATGTCAGAAGAACAACAAATCGAGAACGAGAAAGAGGCAGGAAACAAGGCGTGGTTCATTCAGAGGTTCAATTGCACAGCGACCGAGGGAAAGAGGAGAGAGAGGAGAGAGAAAGAGAGAGAGAGGGAGGGGGGGGGGAAGTAACACGGGGCAAAAAAAGAAGGGGGGGGGAGCTGCAAAGGAAAGCAACCTAAGTTCATGGCGTCGCATAAATCAGCACACATCGCTCCCCAAACGAAGAGAAGCGGGGGGGGGGGGGAGGAGGAAGAGGAGAGCAAGCGTACATGTGCATGCACAGCTTGGAACCGGGTGTGCACGCACGTGCGAGTGTACACCCAAGGCAAGGGCGGCATCAAAGGTAGGGACTGAACCACATCCTGAGAAAGGGGTAGGGGGTGGGGAAAGGATAGGAGAAAGAAAGAAGGGGTTGAGGGGGGAAACGGGCCAACACCGCATGAGGGTTCTCGAATGCACAGTCCTACACTGACGCTCTGCCTGCTGCGTGCTTCGCTGGCTTGTGTCTGCTTGAATTTGGCATGTTGAAGCGCAAGCGGTGCTGGTGCTTCGATGATGACGATGATGACGACTGGTCGCCTGCTGCGTGCGACGAGCGCTTGCTTGACGATGCTGCTGTGGATGACGACGACGGCGGTCCGGAGACGAGGAAGCGGTGCACGGCGGCCTCGGCCGGGGAGGCGCGCTTGCGCGGGTCGTAGTGGAGACACTTGAGGAGCAGGTCCTCAAACATGTGGTAGTCTGACGGGCTGTGGCCCATTTCACCAAGACGCCTGCCCTTTGGGCCGCCCGTCTTTGAGCCGAGCGAGTGGGCGAGTCTGCGAGTGCCCGGCGCCATGTATGAGCGCTTTGTGCTGCGGATGAGCTCGTACTGGCCGGAAGGGAGCTTGCTAAAGTAGTTACCGACGCTGCGGCCCTTCTCCAGCATGTGTACGGGCGGAACGCCCAGGAGCTCGGCAATCTTGTGCACCTGGTCGCGCTGGCTCGAGCCGTTGAAGATGGGGTCACCCGTGTGCAGCTCATACATGATGCAGCCAAAGCTCCACATGTCAATGGCCTGGTCATACGGCAGGCCCAACAACACCTCCGGCGATCGGTAGAACCGGCTCTGGATATACGGATACATCTGCAGGTGTGTAGGGGTGTGTGTGTGTGTGTATGCGTGTGCGAGTGCGAATGTATGTGAGTATGCGCGTGCGAATGTGTGTGTGTGTGTGAGAGAGAGAGAGAGTATGAGAGAGAGAGAGAAAGAGAGAGAGCAGACGCGGTACTTGGTGCGTGGGCAGCCACGCGTTCTCGGCCAATCGCAGCCGCAAGACTCCCACGCAAGATGCAACAACACGCACCCGCACCCACACACCACACACCACGCAGACGCACCGTTTTGCCAATGTGACAGCTGCTGCCAAAGTCGACAATCTTGATGGCTGTGCGCTTTGGGGATTTGAGGAGGATGTTCTCCGGCTTCAGGTCACAGTGGATGATGCTGAGGCGCTCCGAGGCGAGAAAGTCGAGGGCATCGACAATCTGGCGGGAGAACTTCCGGATGAGGTTTAGGCTCACGCCACGGAAGTTTGTGTTGCGGATGAGGTCGTACAGGTTGAAGGAGAGGAGCTCAAAGACGATGCACAGGTGATTTCTGTGCTCAAAGGTGGAGATCATGCGCACGAGATGGTGCTCGTCGTCCGGGTCAGCGTCCCGGATTTTCTCCAGCAGGTCAATCTCAATTTGCGCCTGCCGCCTGAACGCCGTTTTGTTCTTGATAATCTTCACGGCCACGTCCCTGCTAAGCTCGCGGTCACGCGCTTGCGTTACCTGGCCAAACGAGCCCTTGCCGAGCAAGCCGTGGATGACATATCGGTCCAGCCAAACCTAGCAAATGGAAAACAGGCGCAGCAAGTGGTTGGGCGGTGTTGGGATGTGGAACATGGGGGGCGGGGAGTAAGTGAGTGAGGGAAGTTGAAGCTGGTGTGTGTGTGTGTGTGCGTGTACGTGATTGTATGGTTCTGGCAATCAATCACGCAGGATCATTCAACAACAGCCATGAGGATCAAACGCATGCACAACATACAAACGCATGCACACACACACATACAAGAAGCATAGCAGCACGTACCTCGCCCTCTTTGAGAATGTAGTCGCAGTGTTCGTTGTCGTAGCCATTGTTCTTCTTGCCTTTCTTTTGGGCGTTCTTTTGCTCATAGTACACCTACCAGCAGCGATGCATGCGTGCACATGGCCAGGTGAGCAACGAGTTTCCATTACAAACAAACAACGTGGATGAACAAGCAGCGTGAATGATGACAGTGCTGCTGTTGCTGCTATTGTTATTATTGTTGTTGTTGCTGCTGTTGTTGTTGTTGTTGCTGCTGTTGTTGTTGTTGTTGTTGCATTCTGCCGATGGATAGTGTCACCGTTGTCATCGGCATCATCACCATGGCTTGTGTGGTGGTGCTGAACTCAACACATACGCACATCCACACCCCAAACACACACGCACACACATCCACACCCCACACACATCAACGCACATATCCAGCAGCATTACTTGACGCCGCGCAAACCAAACCAAACCAAAACCATCATCAACAACCATCCCTTTGTTTCGTGCATGGCACAACACCGCTCTCCTCCACGTTGTCAGAAAGGGTGCTCACCTTGTTGATGTGTCTGTATGTGTCGATGAGGCTGGCGGTGAGCTTGACCAGCGGTGCTTGCGCCCGCTCGGGTCGCGGCTTGTACTTTGGTGGCGGCATGGGGCTGGTGCTGTGTCCAAAAGGTGGTTGGTGAAGAGAGGAGAGACAGAGAGAGACAGAGAGAGAGAGACAGAGAGAGACAGAGAGAGAGAGACAGAGAGAGAGACAGAAATGCTGCTGCTGCGACAGCTCTCTCGAAACAGGTGCTGGATGGACTGGACTGGACGGTTGCTGCTCGTTGCTGTTGTCTGAGTCACCAACACTGCCAGCTTTGTGTGATCCGTTATGCGAGGCAGTTGGTTGGCTGGTTGTGCGTGTGGATGTGTGTGAGTGTGTGTGAGAGTGTGTCCTTCAAGTGCTGTTTCTCCTCCTTGCTGGTGGCGATGACTGTGAATTCGAGCGCTGATGATGAATCAGCAAGCGTTGTCCGGGTGTGTGTGTGTGTGGCGGGCGGCAACAAAACAAGCAATCACGCCACGGGCGCCAGTGGAAGACTGACTGACTGCAGACAGAGAAGCGAGGCCGCTTGATTGGGGTGCTGCGATTGCTTGAGCTGCTGTTGGTCGTGGTGCGATGCGCTGTGCTGTGGTGATGACTGCGGCTGTGGATGATGTCGGCGAGAATTCCAAGGATGCCGCGAGCTGGGGGTTGTTGTTGTTGCTGATCAGAAGCAGAGAAAAAAAAACCAGCAACAATTGACAGGCCAAGCCAACGGTGAGCTTGGTCAGCGCTGTTGTGTTGTGTTGTGTTGTGTGTCGCGGAGGCGATGGGTTGGTCGGTGGGTGGGGATGTGGCGCGAATGTCGGCGAACAATCGCAATTGCCGGCCAGGGGCTGGAGAGATGGGCGGGAAAAACAAAAGGCGAAAAAATAGGCGAGGACAAATTAATGTTAAAAAAATTTGGGGCTGCTGCTGTTTGGCTTTGGCGGCAGGAATGTCGAGCACTCGGCTGCGTTGCTGAGCTGCGCCAAGCTATGCGACTGTGAGTGAGGCTGGTATCGTTGGAATGGTAGGCAGTGAACGCATGCAGTGGAGGGGGGGTGGGTGGAAGGGAAGCGCGCGGGGGTGGTGGCGCGTTGGGGAACGAGAAGAACGAGAGACGGAGAGCAAGAGACGGAGGAGAGCAAGCGGAGGAGAGGGGCAGGCAGGTGGAAGGTGTGTCACAAAGACGAACAAACAAACCAAGCGGGGGCAGCAAAGCAAGCGCCGTTGTCGTGGTCGGACTTGCTTTGGCTTGCTTTTGTTGGCTGGCCAGAAACCAAAACAGTCAAGCCAAGAAGCAAGCAAGCAACAAAACAGTAAGGGGTTTTTTCGCGGGCAAAAAACGTTGAATTTTTTTGTTGTGAAAATTTTATGGTGTTGTGTGCACTTGAATCAAGCGAGTGGGGAAAACGCGCCGTCGCCAATTGCATGGCAAATTTCCTGGTACGCTTAGGATATTTTGACCTTGATTCCTTTTCTTATGTACGATATCCAGCGAAAATCGAGTACCGCCCAGCAACCCAAACAAGACACCAGCGATAGCCAGCAGAGCGAAAAACCGACCGATATCGGACTGGACCCCACAACAGCAGCACCAGCACCAGCACCAGCGCGAAGACAGCAACAAGCAGACGAAGCGTGCAGACGGACGCTGCAGAAGGGACCAGTCAAGGAGCTCAGTGAGGCGGGGGCACAGGCGTGCGATCAAGCGAACAGCCAAGCCAAGTGAAACACACTGCAGAACACATCATGTAAGCGATCATTGAGTGAGTGAGTATGTGGTTGGTCGGGTGGGGAATCCTGCATGGCCTGCATGGCCTGCATGGATTGATCCGTTGATTGGTGATCATGTGTGGTTGGAGAGTTGTGTGTGCGGGGGGGGGGAGCAGCAGTTGGAGAACGATAGCAGTGCGTGTGTGTGTGTGTTTGTGCCGATGGTGAGGTGCCTGCGCTGGTTGAAGAGCAAGCGCGGAGGCGAATGAGTCTGGTTGGATGCGATGGCTGGGATGGCTGGGATGGCTGGATTTGGTGGTTCGCCTTTGCCACAACACCCGCATCAAGAACTTTCTCATGCATCATCATCTCGCGCACTTCTCACCCACTGTGCACCACACCGCGCCCCACACACACACACCTCACACACACACCTCACACCACACACGTCACGCGTGCACGCCACATCGCGTCCCACAGCTAATCAAAGAGGATGGCGAGTTATGGGGACCTGGATGCGCAGATTGCGCGGTTGAAGTCGGGGGAGCGCCTGTCGGAGGAGGAGATCAGGGTGCTGTGCGAGAAGGCGCGGGAGCTGCTGGTGGATGAGAACAACGTGCGTGAGGTCAAGTGCCCCGTGACAGTGTGCGGCGACGTGCACGGCCAGTTTTACGATCTCATGGAGCTCTTTCGCATTGGCGGCGATGTCCCAGACACAAACTACCTCTTCATGGGTGACTACGTTGACAGAGGCTACTACAGCGTCGAAACCGTCAGCCTACTCGTCGCTCTTAAGGTGTGTGTGTGTGTGTGTGTGTAATTGCTTGTGTTGTGGCGTGGTATTTGCTTGTTTGCTTGTGTTGTGGTGTGCATTGTGGGGGTGTTTGCATGTTGTGTCGCGTTGCTGCGGGAAGTGTCCTTGGTGTTATGCTGTGAGGTCCTTGGTGGCGCAACTGAACGTTGTGGTTCGAGCGCAAGCGCTACCGCTGCAACCGCCACTACCGCCGCAAACCACTCAACACATGTGCGTGCGTGTGTGTGTGTGGATTGGACAGGTGCGGTATCCAAGCCGCATCTGCATCCTTCGCGGCAACCACGAGAGCAGACAAATCACCCAGGTGCGCTTACTGATCCGCAGGTTCATGCTCATGATCTGAAACCGTCGTGTCGTGTGGGGCTGCGGCGTGCTTGCGTCGGTTGCACACGTGCGTCCCTGAGCATGCCTCACAATCCTTTTCCATGCCTCGCAAGTGTTTCTCATCGTAACCCCGTGCTCACCTGCGCTGCTTCGGTTCAGGTGTACGGCTTTTATGACGAGTGCCTGCGCAAGTACGCCAGCCCGGCCGTGTGGACCTACTTCACAGACCTCTTTGACTACCTGCCATTGACTGGCCTCGTCGAGAACCAGGTGTGTTGCATGTGTGTGTGTGTGTGTTTGAAGGGGGTGGGAGTTTGCGTGCGTGTGCGTATGCTGCATGCATGTGCTTGTGTGTCGTTCCCTGAAATGTTGTATAGCCGTGTTTGTGTGTGTGTGTGTGTGTGTGTGTGTGTGTGTGTGTGTGTGTGAGCGCTCTTCACTGGACCAGCATGAGGCACTGCATGCGTCTTGTTGTGTCTTTGCGATCCACATGCTCTGCTGAACACACATGTGCACAAACCAAGCTGCGTACATCATATGCGCACGCACGCAAGCACACACACACACACACACAAGCGCAAAACGCTTGAATCGTCCTCTTGCTCAACGGACAATCGCTCACGATATGTTCGCGCATGTGTTCGCTTTGATTGTGAAACAAGATTTTCTGCCTTCACGGTGGCTTGTCACCAAATGTTGAGACGCTTGACGTGATTCGCGCTATGGACCGCATCCAAGAAGTGCCGCACGAGGTGTGTGTGCGTGTGCGTTTTTGTGTGCTGGTGGTGCGTGTGCGTATGATATGTGTTGTTGGGTTGCGTTGTTGGTGGTGTTGGCGTGTGTCATTTGGTGGTGGTAGTGTGCATGGGGTTTCGCCTTTCTTTGTTGCTGTTTTCTTAATTTGGTGTGCACACAGATGTTTCGACACACCGCCTTCAGGGTCCACCCACCTCACCTCACACTGCTCACACACACGCACACACACGCACACACACGCACACACACGCACACACGCACACATCAGGGCTCCATGTGTGATTTGCTGTGGTCGGATCCGGACGACAGGATGGGGTGGAACGCGTCGCCGCGTGGTGCTGGCTACAACTTTGGTCCAGATGTGTCTGCAAAGTTCAACGAGACCAACGGGCTGACCCTCATTGCGAGGGCGCATCAGCTGGTCATGGAAGGTTACAACTGGAGCCACGAGCGCCACGTCGTCACCATCTTCAGCGCGCCAAACTACTGTTACAGATGCGGTCAGTGCTTGCGTGCGCCTTTGTGTGTGTTGGCATGCGCCTTTTTTTCTGTGTGTGTGTGTGTCTGTCTGTCTGTCTGTCTGTGAGTTTCACTCCCTCACACACACACACACACACACACACACACATCGCCCTTTATTCTTGCACGCCCTGTCTGAAACAGGCAACCAAGGTGGCATTCTTGAGCTGGATGATCTGCTTAACTACACGTTTTTGCAATATGACCCTGCACCAAGGCCCGAGGGCTTCCACAAGCTGCCCCGCGCCCCAGACTACTTTCTCTGAGAGGAGTCACTCGTGTGTACCTCTTTTGCCGTGTGTCGTTTCCTTGCCGTTTGTGCCTGCGCTCGCTCGCTCGCTTGTATGCTTGCTCTTTGTCGTCTCGCATCGTGTTGTCTCTCTCTTCTCGTGTCATCCAGTCCGCTTTTCTATGTGTCTGCATGTCGCGTGTCGCCACAGAACCCAACCCCACAATTTTCTGTCGTTGTGTATTTGGGTGCTGAGTCAGGTGTTTGGGCCCGTGTGCCGATTTCTTTAGTTAAATCTCGAAAGATGTCTCATACAGCCACGCAACGACATTCATCGTGAAAATCGTTGGGTTTCTTTGTTTGTTTGGTTTTACTCCCCCCTCATAAGCACAAGGAACAAAGCAAAACAACAGAAGAAGCACAGAAGCAACGTGGCCCCCGAAGAAGGAAGGAAGCCGAGGCTTGTGGCTTTGCGCCCTTCCCTCACTTCATTCATTCTTTCCATCACCACCCCATATCACCCGCACGACGAGCAATTGTCGTTGACTTGAGTCAACCAACGCCTGCTTCTCGTGCCCCTTTCCCTTTTCCCCCACCTTTCCTCTCTCTCTCTGCACATCCGCTTGTGTTTTTGTTGCTCCAACACACTGCCAACCATGGCTGCTCTGCGCATGCTTGGCCTCTGTGTCATGCTGCTGGTGGCCTCTGCCGCTGCCCAGCGCATCCACGTGGACAAGACCTCCCTCACCGTGAGCGAGGGTTTCTACGAGGTCATCACCTTCACCCTTGACGAGCCCATCATTTGCACCACCCAGGATGGCGGTGAGTTTTACAGCTGTTTGTGTTTGGTGTGGCTGTTTGATAGGGGTTGATATTGTTTGTTGATTGTGGTGGTGGTCGTTTTGGTTTTGGTTTCACATCACACCACAATGACACACACGCACAACAAGAAGTGAGAGAAGTGTTTTGGTTTTGTCTTCTGTCTGAATCGCGCTGTCCACTGCTGTGCCGCTGTTGCGGCGCGCTGCACTGCCACACAAATCGTGCACACTCTTTCTGCACCCCCACCCCACCCAACAACAACAATGTATCTGCATCTCCTCACTCACGCATGAACCACAACAACCAATATGCCACCAAAACGCGCCACACACACGCGCGCGCGCACACGCACGCACACACACACACACACACACACAAAACACCACCCAGAGTGCGCCGTTGTGATTGAGGTGCAGAACCCACACCCGAACCAGGTTGCCATTGATAACTGCATCATCAAGTGGGACTGGCAGGACTGGCACCAGCCACGCACGCTGGTCATCCGCGCCGTCGAGGACTTTGTGGATGATGGCACCTTTGAGGGCATGATTGTCACCGACCCGGCCATCAGCCGCTCCGAGTACTACAAGAACTACAACGCCGCGGACATTGTCATCAAGACGCGTCCCCGCCGCTCTGCTCAGTGCTCCGGTACCGGTGACCCCCACTACCACACGTTTGACCGCAAGTACTGGCACATCGTCGACGCCGGCCGCTACGTCCTCTACAAGACCCGCTCGCGCACCTTTGAGGTGCAGGTGCAGACGCGCGCTTACCCTGCCCGCCACTGCGCCTTTGCCGCACGTGAGGACAACGACGTTGTCGTCGTCTGGGCCTGCAACGGTAACCCGGTTGTCCGCCGCTCCTGCGGCTCTGACGAGTGCCGCCGTGGTGGCTTCCCCAAGCTCTCCATCCGCGGCTCCAGCCGCCGTGCCAACTACTACGTCGAGTTCAAGTCTGGTGCCATGGTCCGCGCCGACACCCAGCCCTACTACATGAGCATGTACCTCACCGCCCCTGGCCGTGACTTCAACGACGTGGAGGGCGTCTGCGGTAACTTTGACGGCAACCCCAACAACGATGCCCCAGTCTACTACGCCCGCAGCGTCAACCAGCTCTGGTCCTCCCAGAGGCCCAGCTACGACCTCTTCGCCTGGTACCCGTCCCCGTCTCCCCCATCCCCACCCCCACGCTCCTACGAGGAGTGCACGTACGAGGAGCCGCCATTTGTGCGCCCCATCCTCAACCGCCCAGACGCCGAGGACATCACCAGCTTCATCAAGGACCTCAACCTCAACGACGTCATTGACAACGAGGACGTCGTCATTGGCGGCAGCTCCGTGGACGAGTCGCTGAACGCCATGGACCGCAACCTCGCCGTCGCCCAGTGCGACGACGTCATCAGCAACTCCCACGTCGTCGCCGTCTGCCAGAACAACCTCCCCGGCTTTGACTTCACCGCGTACATTGAGGACTGCGCCGACGATTTGGCCGAGACGAGCAACGTCGACTTTATCGAGGACGCCCTCGAGGCCCTCGAGCGCGACTGCGCCGAGCGCGCCAGCCGTGACCTCAACACCTGGGAGACGGACGAGAACGAGAACCCGGTCGAGCCAAACAAGGAGATTCAGACCAACATCTGCCCCAGCCAGTGCAACAACCGTGGTACCTGCGACGAGGGCATCTGCACCTGCGATGAGGGCTTCCTCGGCTTTGACTGCTCAATCGACACCAACGCCCGCCCCGTCATCACCTCCCTCGTCAAGCCTTTCTGCGACACCAAGGGCATCAACGAGTGCACCGGCCGCCTCAGCGTCATTGGCGAGGGCTTCTGGAACTCTGACAAGCTCCGCTGCCGCTTTGGCGACATGGAGACGGACGCCTTCTTCCTCGGCTCCATGGAGGTCGCCTGCGCCGTGCCCAACAAGGTGCACAGCGGCAGCGACGAGGAGACAGCCGTCGTCCAGGTCACCGTTGACGGCGACAACTGGTCCGAGTCGCAGGAGTTTGTCTTCACCTGGTACGACGGCGTCTGCCAGGTCTGCAACGCCCACGGCTGCGGCCCCAACCCAGAGTCGTGCACCATCGACGGCACCTGCTACCACAACACCGCCCCCAACTCGGACAACATCTGCCAGCAGTGCGACCCCAGCACTTCTGTCACGGAGTGGACCTGGACCTACCAGAACCACGAGGAGTGCGGCCCGTCCTTCCCCAAGGGCACCCCGACCGTCACCGTTGTCGGTGGCGCCGAGGCCGGCGACGTGATTTACACCGTCGACGCCAGCAACTCCAAGGTCGCCGCGGACACCAGCAACGTCATCACCTACTCCCTCACCGGCGGCGATGGTCTCTTTGCCATCAGCAACGACGGCGTCATCACGGCCGCGCAGGCCTTCAACGTCCTTGACCTCGACGTGACCTTCAACAACTTCCTCTCCATTGTCGCCACCGACTCTGCTGGCAACGAGGCCACCACGGGCATCGTCATTGACGCCGTCGCCGAGAACGTCGACCCTTACTTTTCAGACTCGTACTCTGTTGAGGTGCCCGAGGACGTCCAGGTTGGCTCCGTCATCATCTCCGTCCAGGCCCAGGACCGCAACGAGGACGACTCGCTCACCTACTCGTGGTTCTCCACGGAGGAGGGCTACGGCGACTACTTCCTCATTGACGAGACCACCGGCGACGTGACCGTCAACCGCGAGCTCGACTTTGAGGACCGCGACCTGTTCACCCTCGTCGTCCGCGCCCGCGACAACGGCGGCCAGACCCACGTCACCACGCTCGAGGTCACCGTCACCGACGTTGCTGAGGCACCCAACGGCGTCGCCATCGACTCTGACTCGCTCGAGGAGAACAGCGCCCCCGGCACCGTCGTCGGCACCCTCTCCACCCAGGACCCGGATGACGTTGACGGCACACAGTCGTTCACTTACTCCACCTCCTCCTCCGTCTTTGCCATTGACGGCGACAAGCTCGTCACCGCCCCCGGCTCCTCCTTTGACTTTGAGGCTGGCCCCACGGAGTACGAGGTCGAGGTCACCACCACCGACCAGGACGGCCTCACCTTCACCGACACCCTCACCGTCAGCATTGTCGACGTCAACGAGAAGCCCTACAACGTGCGCCTCAACATCCCCGGCTCTGAGCAGGGCAACTTTATGATCGAGGAGTCTGCGCCGCTCGACTCCATTGTCGGCACCATTGAGAAGCAGGACGACGATGCGGACCAGACGGTGCTCTGCTCCCTCGCCAGCACGGACAACGGCCACTTTGAGATCTCCGGCAACAACCTCGTCCTCATTGACCAGCTCGACTACGAGGAGGACAACGAGCACATGATCACCGTCGTGTGCGTCGACGACGGCACCCCGACGCTCGCCTCGGACCCCGTCACCTTTGTCATCCACGTCACCAACGTCGACGACGGTCCGTCCGACTTTGCCTTTGAGGGCACCGACGTCTCCGTTCCCGAGGACGCCCAGGTTGGCGACGTTGTGGCCCGCGTGGTTGCCGTCGACGTCGACGGTGGCGACAGCGCGTTTGACTTTTCCATTGTCCGCGGCAAGTTTGCCGTCCCCAACGCCCCCGACTGCGAGGCCCAGCAGGACGGCTCCGTCCGCTGCGTCGTGGACCTTGTCCTCGCCGAGGCTCTCGACTTTGAGACGGCCGAGGAGGAGACGTTCACCATTGAGGCCGACAGCAACGGCCGCGTCGGCAGCGCCCGCCTCACCATCCCCGTCGCCAACGTCAACGAGCCCGTGTCCGCCATCCAGTGGGCCGACGGTGTCAACACCATCCCCGAGGACGTCGACGCCGGTGTCCTCGTCGGCACCCTCCTCCCCGTCGACCCAGACACCACCACCATGGGCGTCGCCTACAACTTTGAGCTCCTCACCAACACGGACGTCTTTGAGCTTGTGCCGCTCATGGCCAGCGCTGGCTCCAGCCGCCGCCGCCGCGCCAACGACGCCGATGCCTACGGCGCCGAGGTGCGCGTCAAGGACCCGTCTGCCCTCGACTACGAGGACGAGTCCAAGCGCTCCTTCACCCTCAGCCTCCGCGTCACCGACAACGCCGACACGCCCGTCAGCTCTGTCGTTGAGGCCACCGTCGAGGTGACGGACGCTCCGCTGCGCCTCGTCACTGCCCCTGACTTTATCACTGTCTCCGAAAACGCCTCTGTCAACACCCAGGTGGCTACCGTGTCCCTCGAGGGCAACGACCATGCCGGTGTGCCATACACCATCACCCTCGTCGACGACGCCAACGGCGCCTTCCGCCTGGACGGCGACAAGATTGTGGTCAACGGCGCCCTCAACTTTGAGGTTGCCCAGGCCCACGAGCTCACCTTTGAGGTTGACACGCAGGAGACGCCGCTCCCCACCTTTGCCGTGGTTGTCGGTGTTCGTAACGTCGATGACGCCCCCGTCATCTCCATCGACTCTGTCATGCAGGAGGTGAACAGCGACATTCGCGTTGGCCAGACCGTCTTCTCCGTCGACGCCACTGACGAGGACGGCACGGGCGTTGATGTGCAGCTCGAGGTTTCCGCCGGCAGCCTCACGCGCGAGAGCCTCCTGCTCCAGGTCTTTGGCTACCGCGCCAGCACCCAGTCTGTGTTTGTGCGCCAGACCCCATCCACCGCGGGCCTGCCCTTGGGCACCTACCACATGCGCCTCGTCGGCACCAGCGGCATTGGCTCAACCTCGGTTGAGTTCACCATCACCGTCTTTGACGACTGCCGCAGCAACCAGTGCGCCGCCACGGAGACGTGCGTCGACCGCTTTGGCAGCTACGACTGCTGCGAGGGCGCCACGTGCGTGAACAGCGCCGACGCCGGCTTTGACACGCGCTTTGACACGACCACGACCACCACCCAGGCGCCAAGCACCTCCAACTCGGCAGACACCACCACGGACGAGAACGGCAACGGCCCCAACGGCGGCAACGTCGACCTCTCCCGCACCGACGCCAGCAACTCTGGCGCCAGCGTCGGCCTCATTGTCGGCGTTGTTGTCGGTGCCATCTGCCTCATTGCCCTCGTTGCTGTTGTGGTTATCCTGGCCATGCGCCGCCGCAACGACCCCGGCCGCCTCTTCCTCGCCGCCGAGGAGGGCAGCAAGACGTACATGTCCAACCCCACGTACCGCTCTCCTCAGGAGCCCGTGTACGCGCAGGCCGACGGCCGCCAGACGGTTGCCTTTGTCCCCGGCGCCTCCAACCCGCTCTACG